TGTGTGTGTGTGTGTGTGTGTGTGTGTGTGTGTGTGTGTGTGTGTGTGTGTGTAAAGATAAAGGCATTTCAAAAACTTTTCATTCACAGAAAACGGCTAAAACATACATTTAAACACAAACAAAAACCACGAGTATGAATGTGGATGAAATGTGACACACTGACCACTAGATGGCAGCACAATGACAAAACAAAGAAGCCTCCACAAACCTTTCTCAGAATTAGACTAAAAACTGATTTTAAGTAAATCTATTATGAACTTTGCCCATATCAGTTCTGTTTGAACTATTCTTCTCCATCATATAATCTTGTTTGTATTATAATAAATACAAAACTTTAGAAATCAGACTGCAGTCTGTAAGCAGTGATTGTGGACAGTGTGTAATAGATGCTCACCTCCTGGATGTGATCCACAGAGATGAGAGAACAGGATCTGTGTTTAGGCACATTCTGTTTGCTCGTCGGGTAGTGTGTGTAACAGGAAGAGGGCCGGGCCCTGACTAAGTGATGAGAGTTTCAAAGTGGGGCAGTGACTGCTCCAGCTGGGAATCATCCTGCGATGATGGAGGCTGCTGGATCTGGGCCTCATATTGCTGCTGGGGCTGTGGCTGTGGCTGTGGCTGAGGCTGAGGCTGGCTGGGTCGTTTTAACCCTTCTTGCTCTAGTTTCTGGCAGGCAGGGCAGGTGTAAGGCACCATGTAGCTGCTCGGGTCCGACCAGTAAGCCCCGTCTGAGGGGGAACTGGACCTCGATTTGTGGCAAAGGCAACAACCGCAAAAACTGAACAGAGAGTGCGGGAGTGGAAATAAAACAAAACACAGATGAAGTGAAAAATAAAAATGAAATGAATGAGTGACAATGAGAAGTGATGTGATGGAGTCACTTTGTTCCTCTGCACAAGATAAAAGCTTTCTCCTAGCAGTAAGATTAAAAAACACTTTGTTTTACAAATATACTTGAACATTTGTACTGTTTCGTATTACGAACATAAAACAAATCAAGGCTGGGACTGTTGCAGTTTTTTCTCCTTTGTTGTAGTTTTCAGAATTAGCCAAGTCCATTCAGACATGTGTAATGTGTCTTCAGTAAGGACATCATTACCGGGACAAGCTAAAACTTTAAAGTTATTTAAATATCCTGACACTTCAAAGCAATTTTCATTTTCTGAAATTTCACAGAGTGATGTTTTGAATACACTCCAATCTCTAAATGGCTCACATGCCTTTGACAAATATAAGATAAATATGGATTTCTTGAAAATGCATGCCAACACTTTTTTTTACCATTGTTTCATCATTTGCTTAATTTATGTATTGTGCAGTCTATTTCCCTGATGCCTGGAAGTTTGCTCAGATTACTCCCATTTTTAAATCTGGTGATCCAACAGAAGTTTCAAACTATCAGCCAATTTCTGTTCTTCCTATTTTTTATAAGTTGCTTGAAAAAATGTTATTTAATCAACTACTTCAGCATCAAGAAGCTAATAATATGCTAAGCAATAGCCAACATGGTTTCTGCACGTCAAGGTCAACCATGTCTGCATTAATTTTATTCACTGAACAAATACGTGCTGCTTTGAACAAAGGTCAAGTAACTGGTGCTGTATATATTGATTTTTTTAAGCATTTGACACAGTTGATCATTACACTCTCTTACAAAAGTTGATTCCTTTTCAACTTTCATCATCTGCAATACAAATGTTTTCCTCTTATTTGACTGATAGGTGTCAGGTTGTGAAACATGGAAGCTCTGTGTCCGGGTCTCTGCCCTGTTCCGTGGGAGTTCCGCAGGGTAGCATACTGGGCCCATTGCTTTTCCTATACAGTGGTTTGCAAAAGTATTCATACCCCTTGAACTTTTCCATATTTTGTCACATTACAACCA